CTGGTGGTGGTGGTGGTGGTGTGTGTGTGTGTGTGTGTGTTTGCGAAAGGGGTGGGTTGTTTTTGTTGGGATTTCTGTCTATTCTTCCTTTTTAAAAGAGGGGAAGGGGCCATTAGAAGGAACAAAACAACAACTAAACAACAACAGCAAGAACAACAACAACAACAAGAACAACAACAAGAACAACAAGAACAACAACACCAACAACAAGAAGAAGAACAACAGCAACAACATCAACAACAACAAGAACAACAACAACAACAACAACAAGAACAACAACAACAACAACAACAACAAATACAACAACATATACAACAACAAAAACAACAACAACAACAACAACAACAACGACAAAAAACAAAAACAAAACAAAAAACAGATACAATCAAACAAACAAAATAAACAAACTAACAATCTAACGAAAGTACTAACAACGGTACCTTTGCCTGTTTCTGCCACCACTCAGTAGTCTCCTCCTGGCCCCTCAGACTGGGCGGGATGTACCAAAAGCACACGTTGGTGCACTGGGGCTGTGGAAGACACACAGTTCGCTTACGTCATTTCATGTCATTATATTCCTGCATCTGATGTGAATGTGCATTTTGTCAGCTTTACTTCTCTTTTCATATTGAATTTTAATGAGAGTGATATATAACTAAAATTATTTTTTTTATTGTATACCTGCGTGTGTTTTTACGGTCCTGTCCTGTACAGCCGAGAAAAATTCCCTCTGGGATAATAAAGTATTATCGTATCTTATCTTTACATGTCTTGTTCATGGGCGAGCTAATACTTCTTTTATTATTTGGTGAATTTAAAGAGCTAAGTGGAATAAAAGATACTCAAAAACAATAAAGAATACAATAAAAGTATTACAGATCAACGGGAAGTTGAAACGTGAAGTACAGGAAACAAAAAAAAACAAACCAAAATTATTTTAAAAAATAAATCTAATGGTTGAATTGTTGAATAGCTCCCACAACGCGTCACTCACCTCCCGCAGAACCAGCCTGAAGCCCTCAGTGTTGGCGAGCTTTTTCGTCAGATAACTGGGGAAGTGACAATAGCAATAAATTATGTACTCTATTCACAATACTGCTGAGAATATCATGGAAGGAAAAGAAATCAACTGAGGAGGTAGTTGGTGAAGCCAATATGCGACGCTCACTGTTAAAAACAATCAGGAAACGACAAGTGCAGTTTTTTGGAACGCCTGAATATATACAAGGTCTTGAACATCTAGCTATCACTCGCAAAATTGAAGGCAAACGAGGCAAGAATAGGCCCAGAGCAACCTACTTAGGCAAAATATGGGTTAGGGGGAAAGATCAGGGAAACGTAGCTTTTTAAAGAGCATCCAAGCAAAGGAATGAATGGAGAACCATGATCGCCAATGTCTGTCACAGATCTGGCACTGGATGAATGAAAGAATCCACAACGAGGAATTATTTCCTCACTGAGTTCAATATATGTGTACTCAAAACCCCTCCTAATTTTACGCACGTGCAACACAATTATGTTATATATACATGTATATAATATGTAAAATGCCGATGATCAGATAAAAAATTGGTGAAATTGTATGGGTTTAACGCCCCTATTAACACTACTAGGTTATTTAAGGAGCGGGACCTCCTAGTTTAACGTCCGTCTCCGATAGGACCGAGCCAAGTGGGAAGTTCCTGTAAAGTGTCTTTCCCAAGGACACCACGTCGGACCGAGCTGAGGCTCAAAGATGATCAGAGATGTCACAAGAAAGTGTAACAAACGTAAAAGAGGAGGAGGAGGAGAGATACAGACGATAGATGATTGATACGAAAGAAGGAGCAAACCACACTAGAGCACCTACCAACCAGTCACTCACATCGAATGCAATTTTATAACAGATACATTTTATTTTTCTTGCTCTCTGTTCTATTGGGAAACAAGGTTCAAGCGCAGTACAGTTATCTATCTATCTATCTATCTATCTATCTATCTATCTATCTATCTATCTATCTAT